GTGATTTTGACTTAGCACTGAAAGGGATTTGAGGTGGATCCACAAATAGGGTCGTCTGTAGTAACAACTTCTAGTCTCAAACTACATACCCTCATAGGATTGTCTTAAATGACCTAGATAGTGGATCCACTTAGAAAAATATGATATGTACATATTCTACCTTGGAAAGAATATTTCCCTTTTTTCGGTATAAGGGATATACCAGATTTCATGATATAACTCTCATAGTCTTATTATAGGTTAAAGTTACTATCCCACAAAATGACTATGTTTCTTCAAAGTTTTTTTTATATCCTTCATGTTAATGCATTTGACCATATTTCATGATTCACAAGTTATTTATTATTTAAACCTTTAAATTTTTAAATATTGGTCATGCCTTTCACGTGTATCTATTTTGTAAATCCATGGTTGCAAAAGTGACATAAGGGGGGGGGGGTTTGACCTACCATTTTTGAATTTTTAAGTTTCATTTTCCATTTTTAAGCTTAGGATACCCTTGAAGACAATTGTTTAAAAGGGTTTCTTTTGCAAAAATCATTTGGGTAAGATTTTATAATCCTAAAACTTCATTTCACTTTGATTATTTATGGATTTGAACATCAAAATTTGGGATTTCGATTGGTAAATGACAAGGTTTTTCAAAAACTTAATTTCAAAATAAAAATGGAGATTGTAAATTGATTTGAGTCATTTTTCGAAATGATAAACACTAATAAGTTCCGAAGGCCTTGAGTAATGTTGTCAAGTGTTGATTTTCGAATTCAAACCTTGTCTTTGAAATTGAGTTTTGAGTTGATTGACTCATTTTCATAGAAATTGATATGGGTATTGTTGTTTTCAGAAATTTATTGTGAATAATTGATTGTTATAGATTATGTGGCTTTGGACATTTATTGAAATGGGAAGACTTAACTCTTGGAATGATTAACTAATTACATTGAGGCAAGTGATCTCCTAAACTTTGTATTCTAGTAGGATTCGTATATTCTCTTCGTTATTTGTATATTCAGAGTAATGAAGATGAGGTGAAGGGTAAATTTTCCACTTGATTAATCTTAATGAATAAAAATAATTAAAATGAAAAGTCTATGTGATGATCATGATGATGTGAATTGCCTTAGTTGTGGCCCTTATTGATTGAATGATGAAATGTTTGATAGCATGAATGTGGACTTGAATTGTATGAATTATTGTCTCTTCCATGTGGTGTTATACTACTTGTGTGCATTTATTGTTGAACGCTTTAAGGAGACATGTGAGAGTTATGGTGCCGAGGTCATTGCCGACAAGTGGTATAATGTCGAAGCCATTTTTGGCAAGTGTTTATGACGTCGAGGTCATTGCTTTCAAGTGCTATGATGTCAAGGTCATTTTCGGTAAGTTTTTGTGATATCGAGGTCATTTCCCACTAGTAATGTGATATTAAGTCCAAGAAAAATTGTTCCGTCTATTGATATTGTGCTAATGAGAAATGTTTCTGGCAAGAGATTGAGTATTGTGGTTTGATGCATTTTGATGCTTATGTATAACTTACTAGTTAATTATGATTGATGTACTTGTTGTGTGTGATTTATCTACTTGATATTGAGGTTGACTTACTTGATTGTTATTGATTATTGAGTTGTGATCGTTTATTAAGACTTATGAACTGCGTATAGTAGAATTATTATGTTGGGCTGATTTATGTGCATGTTGTAGTTTGAGGAGGTCAGGTTGGGATGAAAGGAGTATTCAATTTCTAGCTAGATGCTTTTTTGCTTGTTGGGTACCGTAGTTTTGGTACTCACCCCTTGCTGCTACACTTGTGTAGATTCCGAGCCCAGTTCTGTGTGATCGTCCTTCTTCTCCTATTTCTCAAGGCTTGTAAAGGAACTATTGAGATGTATCTACTTGTCCTCTCGGCGTAAATTATTTTCCTTAGTATTATGATTTATCCTATTTGACAAACAAAGACTTGAGACTATGTAACATTTAATTTATGTACTTTTGTACAAGAGGCTTGTACACGTGACAACCAGGTTTTGATGTGTTAATAGAAAGAATCAGTTTTTCCGCTCTTATCATGCTCTTGCTTTATCTTTCCATTTTTCTTTTGTTTCGTTAGGTTTGAGGCTGACTTGTCTTGGCAAAAATAGATAAGTGTGATCATGTCCATTTTTGAACCGTGACAGATCCATAACTTAGCTTCAATTTCTTTGATCTTTTCTCTTCTTTTTATTCTTAATTAGCATTGTTTCTTTTACTATTAAATAATTTTTCAGTTATCATTAGAGTTTGTCTTCTCTTCTCTCAATCCTTCTATCTTTCTAACGTCTAAGCTTAAAATCTTTCACTATTCATATTGTTATTAAGGCGTACTATCACTTAAAATATGTAATTTTAGATATTCATTACTCGTCTACCTTCCCCAAGAAGTAAATGAGGGTATCTAGATTGAGATTGAGTCTCAGTCTGAGTCGGAACTTCTAAAACTAGACTTGATTATTTCATCTAATTTACGTTCTTCTTGCTCATTTAAATTATCCTAACATTCATATTATCTTTCCATTAGTTAGTAATCTAGTGACTCATAAGAATTATGATAAATTTTGATGCTTTGGCTCATACAGATTTTATTAGCATGAGTAATTCTTTATTGACTTGTAAAAAATTACAAATGATAAAATGAAACAACATAACTAAATTTAAGGGTTTGGCATATTATAGGACACTCAATAAATTCTACTAAGGTTCCTTAAGATATTATCAAATGTAACACATACACAGTTGTATCATACTTCTTATTTCAACTCCCTTTTCGTATAAAGCCTACTCAAGCTTTTCAAAGGCATTGTAGTCAATCCCTGTCCAAAGTTAGATTTGGCCACATAAACAGAATAGTAAGATTCATTATCCACATAAAAGAAAATAAAAAACAACTCATCTTCAGAAAAAGAAAATTTTCAAAATTAGAACATGATTTTGGAAAAAAACAAAAAGATAAAAATTGAAATTGAACAAAACAATACTTCATAAATCAAAATAATAGATGAAGTTACAAAACAAGCAAAATTAGGTTGAATTTTATTTACCTTTGCTTGCAATGATATGAGCTTGAACAAGATTTTTGTCTGATTCTTCTATGTTTGTCTGATAGAAAGATCATTTTAAATGTTGTGGGAGAATATTTTTTTCTGTCGGAAGTTATATTTACTTTTTGTTTGATTCTTATAAAATGGGAAAATTCATGTCAAAATATTGAGCAAAATGCTCCTCAAAGGGAATTTTCTTCAAACATGAATAAGGGTAATAGATGGCTCGATAAAGTTAATTGTAATATAAGTAATTTATTTGGACTATAACATCGTGTAATCTTTGTATTATTCCTAAAGATGGGATGTTTGATATTCAATTGAAAAAATTCAAGAGATATTTGACAAAATATGTACATAATTTGTCCAACATATGACATATTAACTTTAGAGAAATCAATATAGAGGTTAGATTTGCACTCTCAAATCATAACATTATTGATTTGTCAATGCAAGCCAATCAATATTTTAAAAGGTACGGGCGCGAGACAAAACGTTTAACCTGATATGAGGTGAAGCATAAATATGATGAATCTTTAGTTTTTCATATTTTATAAATTAATATAATAAAATATTAAATATTAAATATTAAATTACTTGGAAGTTTGAAGAAAATATAAAATAAATGCGAATGTAAATGGAAATTTTAAAAAAATAAGTGTAAATATATATATAGAAGTGATTTATCTTAAAACGTTAATTAACATCACTAAAAGGAATAATCAGAATTACTCATCTATAAACAATAATCTTGACTTCTTAAAAAAATTAAGTAGAAGAAACTGCATCAGAAGGACCAAATCAGAGTAAATAATGAATAATGCTACATTTTACTTTGTAATTTCCGTGTTGATCATTTTTCCTTCTTATGTGGTGAAAGACAAAGAGAAACAATAAAAATTAAGGCTAAGAACAAAATTATTTAGATTTTTATGTTTATTAACTTTTAAAATTTCAATGTCAAGTTAAATTGTGATTTCTAATTAATTTATATTTGGCTATTAAAATTTAATTAGGAAAAGTTTTTCGGACTTACACCTCAAAATAAAAACTCGTACATACACATAAGCATGCGTTGTTGTGAACCATAAGCCTCATCAATTTAGACTCCAAATAGATGGGGCTTACATCTCACAACACTTTCACCCCCACAAACTATTGCGGTAGATTTTTACTACGTCTCATCTAAAGGATCACGTCTCATCTAAAAACAAATAAAGAAAAAAACAAAATAAAAATTCTAAAATTATATAAAATTGAACTAAACTATTCTCTTTTAATAGTTTGATAAATGTCCTTATTATTAGAGACATTTCTAGATCAAACTTTAAAAATTTGAATATTTAGAGGATTAAAAGTGTCCCATTGCATAGTTTATTGAAGAATATTATTAGTAGCCCCTCACCAATTTCCCCTTTTTCTACCTCACTTTTTTAAAAAAAATAAAAGAAAAACTAAAATAAAAAGAAGAAGAGGGTTTTACCTTTTCTTTTTTTTCATATTTTGAAGTAATGATAATTCATTTGAAATTTTGATTGTTCGGCGGAATTTTCTAAGTAACAAATTGACGTTCACCTTCACCATAACTATTTGAAATCTTTGTGCTTTTTTTTTCACTTTACCCAATCTCAAGTGAATATTGGTCCTTTTCTCCTCTCTTCTTACAAAATTCTTGATTTGATTTATTTTTGCTTGTTAATCAAAGTTTTAGTTTGTACAAATAGCTGTTCTTCACAGTTTAATTTGTTGGTTTTTTCTTGTAGATGCTTTTCTGGTTCTGCTGGGATTCATTTAGCATTTGATTGTTATTCCTTGCCATTAGTTGTTTTCTCAAGACGAGGGCTTTTTGGTAAAGTTTATTTGATCATTGCAGCTGAATTAGGTATGTTTTCAGCTTTTCAAATTTATTATGTTCTGTTGACTAAACCATGAAATCTTGAATTTACATATTTAATATTTATGGAGTAGATGGAGCAACAACTACATTAGTGTAAAGTTATGAGAAAGAAATATGTGAGCTTTCAATGAGGTTTCTTATGTCCTTTTTAGAGAACAAATGGTTAATTCAATCAATTACTACCCTTTAATCCTTCGTTAGTTGGGGTTTGCTATATAAATCCTAATGTATTTCTGTTCATTCTGGTTGATATAGGGAGCATTTCTCTCCACGTGCCAGTCCATTAGATTAAATGTTTCTAGAGGATATATTAAAGTTCATACAGAGGAAAGTAGAATCATTACCAAAATATTTATTATATCAAGTGCCAACAATTTCGTTCTACGAAAATATTTGGCCAGTTGATCGAAGTGCATAGTTTCCATGTGTTTCTAAATTTCTCATATTCTAGGAACTTAGCTTGATTTCCATCAAACCAAGTGATGCGGTTAGAAAAGAGAAGTAGGACCCCTAGTGACTAAAGCTTTGATTTTAGTTTTGGTGTGATCCTTGAAAGTAGCTAAAATTAGGTAATCAATATGAATTTCCTTAAATGGACCCTTCTTTCTTAATTATCTTCTTAGGAGTTGGAAATGTCATTAAGATCTAAAGATAGATGGCAAAGAATATTTTATTTTGAAAGCAACAGTATTGTTGCCTCTAATAGTTGTAGGACGGACTCATAGATCTTGGAACATATATGACGGCAAGGCCTAAGCATTAAACTATGTGTAATGTGAATCCCCCCTTTTTACCGTACAATGTATTCTCACCCCGTCAACCTCCTCAATCCTCCTCCTTTATGGGGGACTTGGGCCAACTGTTCAAGGCTCAGGTAGGTGAAGTTGATTCTCTTGTTGAGGATTTGGATCTTGCATTTAATTCTAGATCATCATTTTCATCAGAGGTTAGGTTAAATCAGATTCTAATTCAAATAAAGCTCTTTGTTCACATAATCTTTCTGGACTTCTTAAAGCTGGGGTGAAGTTGCTACCCACTATTATGTATATTCTAGTTTGCTTGGTGTTAGACTATCATTTGCTTAAAAGACTTCTGGAATGAGAACATGTATCCTAAATAGCAGTTAGGCCAAAAATGTCTGTAATCGAAAGATAAAATTTATTTTAATGGTAAAAGTGGAAAGGAGAACAGAAAAAATATAACAGTACATAGTTGTTACTGGAATTGTCTGGATTTGAACGTTGTTTGCATGCTTCCGGACGCTTCCAAAACCAGTTGTCAATATTGGTAATATGTGTCTAATGAGCGGTGGCCTCTGAGACGTGTACGCATATTACTCTGCATGAATAGAGTGCATCAGTAGTTACTAGAATATAAATATGGGTGCATTGCCTGCATATTATCTATCTTCCAAGGTATAGTGAGTGAGGAAACAACTTCGTGGTCATTTAGAGGGGAGTCTGAGATTTTCGGGAGATCAAAGATTTCAAGATGTTTGGTAAGCAACTCTTTTGCTGAGCTATCCACTTCCGTGTTAGGCCAATTGGTTCTGTGATTTGCAGTTTTCTCATTTGAGCTTAATGTGTGGTAACTCAGGTATGGCTGTGGTACATTTATGCCATGTTGGTAAAGGAAAATGAGCCTTCAAAAGATTTTCTCAATGTAAAATTTCCAGTTTCTTGCTTTTATAAGAATCAAACCTCTTTTGTTAGTGTTAATGATATCAAACATTTCACGGCAACCGAAAGTAGTTTCTCCCCCAATTGGACATAATCATTGATCCTTTGTCTGGTATGCATGATCGTGTTAGATCAGGATCGAATTTGTGATTTGGAAAAACAATACCTGTTTGCTTTTATTCATGCTTGTTTTTGCTTTAAAAAAACCACATCTGTGCTGTGAGGCTTCCTTTTTGCCGCAAACAAAGCTATTACATTTGGTTAAATTCATTTTATACAGTGTTACACTAATGATAAAATTCTTTCATGCACTTATCTAGATTGATGACTATAGTATAAAGTGTAGTTTCTTTCTCAAAGATGTCTTCTCTTGTTGTCTATAACTTGTTGTTTCCGTTGCTTCGGGTATTGTATATTTGCTATTGATGCTGTTATTTTATCAATTATTTCCACTACGGCTTCTTAAATATTGTCTTCCCTTTTAATACCTGCTTTGAAACTAAATTGTGTGGATTCTTCACTTTCGATGCCGCAACCAAGTCAGATTCTCCAAAAATGCCCTCTTTTTGGAGAATCCGACACACTCACTGACATTTTTTTAAACAGTCCGAGCAACATTGCTTTGAAATGTTTTACTTGAGACGAGGGTCAATTGGAAGCAACCTCTCTACCTTCACTAAGTAGGGGTAAGGTCAGCAAACACACCACCCTCCCCAGACCCCACTTGTGGGATAACAGTAGGTATGCTGTTTTTGTTGGTGTCTTCTTCTAGTCATTCTTTTTGTTGCTCCTTGTTTTCCTTTTTTTTTTCCTCTTCCTTTTCCTTTACTTCCATTGTTTGTTTTGGCTTTTCCCAGATGTAGTCCACTACCAAATTTATAGTTGTCTACCCGCAAAGGTAGGGTAGGTTTGCATACATCTTACACTCCCAGGCTCCACTTGTGGGACTACACTGGGTATGTTGTTGTTGAACCTCTGAATTAGAACGAGCACCAAAAGTAACTGTCTAGTTTCCCCAAAGGTTTAGTCGAAGTCGCAAAGGGTGTGGGACTTGTGACTAAGGTCATGGTTTTGAGTCCTGTGTCATGCCAATTAAACCTACTATTGAAGTTGGGAAGGGTAGAGAGTTCCCCTTTATTCCTTAGTTTCGAAGGCTATAAGGGTTCGCCCGAACAGATTTATTGGTCATCCAAAGAAAGAGGTATCTACCAAGTGAAAAATGCTAATTAAAATAGAGGAAATTATTTGTCCTATTTTTCTGGATGGGATTGGTAGTGTCTTCAGAATGTCTTTTGTTCTTTTCTTTCCAACTATCTACCATATACAAGTAGAAGTGATCTTCCACCAGTACTCCTTACTATTTCTTCTCCCCACATTTCTCCGGCTGCTCAGAAGTTTCACTATGGAACTGAACATAGCTCAATTTATCCATAATATACGAAAGAACATGTGCCACAATTTAAAGTTGTCTTACAATGTAGAAAATGGTGCTCATTAGTTACACTTTCCTGCCCACATAGTAGGCGCGTTGAACAAATTTGAAGACCTCTTTTCGGTAAGTTTTCTTGAGGGGCATGCTTTCATGACAACCAACCACTCAAATCCAGAAACCTTTACTGTACTTTTGACTCTCCAAATAAGCTTTCAGGACCAGAGCACATTTTGATGAGTTCTGTGATTCAAATTTCACCAGGCTTCATTGTGAATTTCCATCTGCTATTCGACCTTCATTTAAACTTTTTTGGAAACTTAGTGCCACCAAAAGTGGTCAGTTGCTGGAGCAGACAGGTAAAACCTTCAATTTCCCAATTATTTAAAGCTCCTTTGAAGATCAAATATCAACCATGTTGATTCCAAATATGGTTTATCTACCATGATTTTGAAGGAGAATTGAGTATATATTAAGAAAGGTGGACTTTAAGCTATTCCAATTGAGTGGTCCTCTCCAAAATTTAGTGTTTCTTTGGCCCGGACACCACGGTCGTCAAAAAACAAATTGTGTTTCTTCCATTACCCACTTTGATTCCCACACTGCTCAGAACCCATGCTACTGATTCCTAATGGTTTTTCCTGACACTACTACCATGGGAGCTTCATTTGTAATCGAGTCATTATTCATTCCATATTACTGTGTGACAACGTGTCTCCATAATCATAATGTCATCTCTGTTATAAACCTCCATAACTACTTCTGTAAAAGACTTTTATTGTGTGATCTCAGAAGGTTTATGCCCCTACCACCTTGCTTCTTGCTAAGAGTTAGGACTTCCCATTTCACCAGACTGACTGATGCTTCTGTTCTCCGTATTACTACTTAGCTTGTCTAACTTCTTTTCTACCCCCCTAGGAATTGGGAAGACAACTCTCATACAATTGGGAAGAGCATCCAATATTGAGTCAATTAGTATCAATCTTCTCTCTAAGGATAAATATTGAGCTTTTCACCTTGCCAGCTTATTGTCACAACTCTCAATAACCTCGTTCCAGGTATCCACTGATTTTCTCTTAGGCCCCCAAGGTATCCCCAAGTACTTTGTTGGAAGAGTCCCCACCTGACAACCTAGATTCTTTGCAGAACTCTGTAGATTTATTACTTGGTTTACTTGATATAAAGAGCTTTTGTTCCAAACTTCCAGTTAACCCTTAAGCCAGAAAGAGCTTAAATAATGGACAAGATTTCCCTAAGGTGTCTGATCTGATCCACTTCAGCTTCACAAAACACAAGAGAATCATCTGCATATAATAAATGAGAAGTTTCACCAGCAACACCAACTTCTGTTAGGTCTCCAAAGCCTCTAATCCAGCCATTAGACATTGTTGTCCTAATCATATGATTTAGGCCCTTCATTGCTCAAAGAAATTGAAAAGGTGACTTGGGTCACCCTGTCTAAGCCTCCTTTGAGATTGGAAGAAACATACAGGATTGCCATTCTTCAAAACAGAGAATTCAACACTGGAATTGCAAAACATTAATCATTTGATCCCATTTATTGCCAAATCCCATATCCTCGAGTATTTTCATTGTAGTTAACCCTATATCTAAAAGAAAGACCATTTAAAAGGGAAATATGCCTAGTGTAGGAATGTTGGAGATTGGAGGTCGACTACACCTACCCTACCCTTGTGTTTCTTTTGATAGCCACGGTGTCTGAGTTGTCTTGTGCACACCTCAACTATTCTATTAGGTACCTGCGACCTATCATCAACACAGGTACCGGATAAATCTAGCTACACATAATCTACTTTGACTGGCTGAAAGTGCCTTCCAAAAAATGATTTCAAAGATCTAGTCCACCTCCATAGGGACCCAATGAGAATCTCTTTCTAGGTTGTTACTGATTCCTACTCAGATTTCAGGTTCCATATCTCATACTTGTTTACCGATAATATTCTGTAGCCTTAATTTAATTCTAATACCAATGCCAGAAAAACCTCAACCTAACTAGACTATGCATAATTAATGCTCTGATAAAAGTTCCTACCATTCCTTTTGCAGGCCTAGTTTCCTTTCATATTGTAAAATTTCCTCCTTCAATGATCACTATTTGTTCCAATGTTGACATGGTTGCCCACCTTTTTACTTAGCGGTGAGGAGGAATGAAAATGGTTCAGTTATGGTTTTTATGAAGAGTATTGTTAGCGAACCTGCTAAAGTATGGGTAGTGATGGTACTTAGCTCACTGCTAAGTGTGTAGGGTTGGGAACTCAGTTACGCTTGGATTGGTCCCCTAAACAGAGAGTCAAGCCTGAGTCTGGTTTTCCAGGATCTACTTAGTTAATTGTTGCAACAGATGTCACCATGTTACGGCAAAAGATGGTGCCATTTCCGATCTCAATTATGAGGTCAGATGGGTGTTAATTATCTATATAATTTCTGGATTCAACAAACTCGTTGTGAGGTCTATATTTTATTTAGTATAAGTTGGTGTACAAAAATATAGTGGACTAGGCTCGATGAAACATCTTAGTCCAGCACAGACTATTAGCATTAACTAATTTTTAAAGTGTAACAGGGAATATAATTTCACTCCAATTTATCTGGTTATTCTGATGTAATAAATATCTACACATTTTAACTAAGTTTACTTTAAGATAATGTAATCCAAATTATGAATGCCATTCAATAGAAATTCTCATTTTCCATTATCTTTTTACTATTAAAATTCATTTCTTCTACTGTTTTAATCTAACCACATTTGAAACTTACCTAAATTTGTTATTTTATATATGTTCCTGGATTTGGCTGTGAAAATATAATTTTCTCAAAAAATATTCATTTATTAGTTTTTAATCTGTAATTAATTTAGTTCTTAACTTGATCTTATTCGATGAGAGAGTAATCCAGTTTCGTGGAGCTTGAGCCAGCATTCATCAGTAGTCTCATAAATACGCAGAGAAACAAGGAGGCAGCTAAGGTCTGGCTAGGTGAAGTAGTAAAGTTAGTATTTGTATATTGTGACAAAATTCAATTATAATTTGTTGCCCAGGACTTCTTATGTAAGCGTGCTTCTGGGGATTTCTCTTTCTATTTTGCTTAGTTATTCTTTGAGGACGAGAGATGCTGAGAAATGTGTTGTTAATGGCTCTCAAAATAAAAGATTAGTGATGACAAATGATTGGAGGGGGTGTGACAGAAGCTACAGATGGTTTGTTTTTAATCTTTATCTAAATCCTGTTTCCCGAACTGAGCAAAGAGCTCAGATATAGCACCTAGCAATGGGGCGAGAGTGGTTTCTTGTTCTTGGTGATGAGAGAAGAATATAGAATCATTAATTAATAAGTAGACTCAAATTTTTTTTTCCTTTTCTTCTAGATTTCTTTGGTACTGGGAAGAGAGAGAATCTTATATGAGGGCATCATATTTGAAGGTGATGCTTACAGTCTTTGCATGAATTTCATTCCTCTTTTCTTCTTCTAGAAAATATCAGAAACTTAAGAACCTGCACTTTCTATAAAGCTTAACGATTTTTGCATTCAGTGAAGTGCATGACAGGCAGTAGTGTATCTAAGGCTGTCTGCAAAATGATATCATTGTGTTGTCTCATTAGTGGAAATAATGATGTTATTTTTGTTTGGTGTTTTACCTTTTTAAATCAGAGAATTGGTAGCTGGTTTCCAAGGAGGTGGAGAGAATTTTGCTTGATCTTTAGAGCCTTTGGGTTTTTGAATGGATCCTTGATAGAAGAACCTTGGGGTTGAGAACAATGTCTGTAGGGGGTGGGGGTTCTTAGTTTGTCACTAAGTTAATACCCTTAATTGTTAAGAGTTAATGGTCAAAAACACACCAAAACTATCACATTTTTGTGAGTTTCATAACTCAACTATCCATCCATCCATTCACCTACCTAAATTATCTCTCCCTTTGTATGAAAAGCACCCCGAGTTGGAGAACACACGCCTATTGTCTATTGGGAAAAACATTTGACCAACTCAGCATCAAGTTGTATTTTAATGCAAAGGGAGTGATACTTTAGGTAGGTTAAGGGAACATTGGATAGTTGAGGTATGAAACTCGGCAAAAATTGATAGTTTAGGCGTGTTTTTGACCATTAACTCTAATTATTAACCAACCCCATTTTTGGATGATTTCTGTATGATCACAAAGTTAGAACCTAGTAATTTCTGGTGATCAGACTTTTTGTTACTTTTGGTGTATCTGGAATAGTGGAATGTAGGTTAGGCCGGAGGATATGACAATTCAAAGAAAGAGGTTGACATGAGGGACTAAGAGAGTGTTAGATGAAAGGGACTTAAAAGCAAATTTAAAGGGGGTTAAGTGTTTGCCTTTTTTCCTTTCATTGAAAATTCCATCTTCTTTTATGGTTGTGTGCTTTTGTGGAACCAGCACACACACTTTCTCTCTGTTTCTTGGGTGCAGGCACGCCATCTTGGCACATACTTTAGAGCCATCTTTTTTGTAATGAAAGCTATTCTTTCTTTGGTGTCAATGTGATTCAAATGTCATCATTTAGAGCAATTGAATTTGAGCCATGCACAGGTTTGCTACTGTCATTTCCCTATCACATGAGTGTAGTACTCATTTGTGTACTAATATTTCCAGTCAGTCACGATTGCATTTGAATCAATATAAAGCTTAGCAAACCGTGACTCTTGGTTCTTGGCGAATTCCACGCACTATGTTACATACAATTATTTATATCACCAAGAAGCAAGTCCCTGTGATGTCTTACGGTTGAAAGACAATGGCATTGAAGGGATATTGGACTGCTCACCTGCGTAAAGACATTTAATTATTTCTTAGTAAAAGAGGTGGTGATATGAAATGAATGAAGTTATATTCTCCAAATTAGTTCATAGCTGTTTTGATGATGCTTTTCTTCAGGCTTGGCATGTTCTAGAGAATAGCTCTATGTAAATCTTGCTGTAAGGTGTGGGGGATACCTTATTCGGTTCTAGGTGTTGTAGAACTGGATTTGGGTATAAAAAGTGGTGACCACTTCTCTAACCAGAACTTTGTCCTCTCAATTTACAACTATCACTGAATAGACGATTGTCTTCCATCTCACATATGTATGTCTGACATAATTTTCCTACTATAGTTCACTAAATTTTTTTTTCTCATCAGTTCTGCTTAAGATACTTGTATTGTTAAATTTCATGATGTTTGATTTAATTTGCAGACATCATTTATCATTTGGTGAGTTTATCTTATGAGCAATGTGGATTCTTTTTTAGCATTTCTGTGTATACCTGCTTTAATAATTGGAGAGATGACATACAAATAGCTTGTGATAATATATTTTGATTCATAAAAATTCTTATGAGTCATGGCTATGTCCTAATTGTCCGACAGTGGAATGTACGCATCTAAGAGATTTTTCATGCAGTGCCTTATCTCGAAATTGGTTCATTTCTTGTTTACAATAGGATATGTTTTATTTTCAGGTTAACTTGGGAAAGTTTTATCTGCTGAAAACTTTCATCTTATTAGCTAGACTGTGCTGTTTGTTTTTGAAGCAACATGAACCACCCTCATCCATATGGTGAAGATCATGTAAGTCATAAATTCTGTAGTAATTGATAGGTGATAGCTCTGGCATGTTTTTGACTTAGCCTGAATCTAAGTTATACACACAGGATGAACCCACTGTCATGGGCTTTGAAGTTCCAAGATCACCCGATGCAAGTTACAACAATGTGTATCCTGGGCATATAGATGAAGGGAGGGAACCACCGATGGTACCGCCACATTTGCATCACACCTTGCTAAACCACCCAGCTACAGGAGATGAATCAACCTCCCTCCCATTGCCACAGAACGCTGTGCTAAACCATCTGTATATTGAGAACGGAGAAGTCCCGAGGTCAGTTGTAGCACTTGGTGTAACACACCGTTTTCGCTCAAAATATGTAACGGTCGTGCTTTACAAACCCGTCCAAAGAAAATGAGGTAGCATACCAACCATGCCTGAACGTACGCACCGTCTTTGGCTTGTGGTCTGACGATAGCAGAGGTAAATACACAGTAAGTTCTGCAGTGGAGAATGTTTATTTCTTCCCAGCTACTAGTAGTAGGAAAATGTGGTAGCAGGTACCCTTGGACTTGAATAATTGAAGTTAGATGTTCAATAGTTTTAAAAAGTTTACATGTATTATGGCAAAAAGTTAGTGATGTCCCTGTTAGTAATGTTTATTTCTTCCCAGCTACTAGTAGTAGGAAAATGTGGTAGCAGATACCCTTGGACTTGAATAATTGAAGTTAGATGTTCAATAGTTTTAAAAAGTTTTGGCAAAAAGTTAGTGATGTCCCTGTTAGTTTGCCTTGACAATTATATTTTTGAGTAGCTCTTCAATGTTGACGTGTGTGAAAACCTGTTAAGCACCTTGTTGCATTTAAGAAGTTGCCAAGTTCACTGCATTTTAAAATGTCCTTTAATCTTGTGGCCTTAAATATGTTGTGGCCTTAAATATGTCACGTGGAAAACTGAAAAAGAATGAATCAATTTAGTTTCAAACACAATAAAAAAAGAAAGTAAGTTATTTTTTAGAAAAAACGGGAGGAGCACGTTTTGTACCTCCCATGTCCGAGAATAATTTTAGTGGCTACACTCGTAGATTAGGCTGACAAAAGTAAAAGATGCCCTAGAAAGTATGAGGATTACAAAATATTATGATTGTTATAAATATATCTGTATTATCGTGAATGTCTATTATGTGAAATTCTTTGGAGAAAAATGAACCTACTTGTAGATTAAGTTAATTTTTCCTTATAAAATGAAGGAGTTTTTCTTCCTCGTAATTGATCGGTGAGTATACGTCAATCTTTGAATATCATTCAAGAGGAATAAGAAGTCTTTTCTCTTCTTATTATTTTATGGAGTTCATAACAATGATTTAGATATTAATTTTTAAGGGGTGCAAAGAAAATTAAAAAACTCTTATTATTTTATGTAGTTCGATAACAATGATTTAGATATTAGTTTTTTAAGGATGTACACAGAAAATTTTAAAACCTGCACCAAACCGATAATTCTAATCACATTGAAAAAATGATTTAACCAGTGGTTTGATTTAATTTGAGGGTTAGGAATTCTTTTTGAGCAAACTTTCACATGTGGTAAACACAAAAGTAATATTTGTATGTTAAAGTTATAGTTTATATAATTGCGCTCCATAGCAAACATAAATATATATATTTCGCTATACATATAAAAAAGAAAGGAGTTGTATAATCTATTTTTGTTTTGGTATACATATGCAAAAGATCAATTGTATAATTTGTGTTTGTATAAAGCGAGAAAGAGAGAAAGACAAAACAGAACTGGACAGGGGAATATTTATTTTGCATAATATATAAGTTTATAGTACGACAATATATGTATTTGCATGTGTATATATCATTTTCTCTCGCTTTATATAAACAGAAAGCCCGACTTTGAAGCTCAGCTTAGTCCATGACTTGGGAATAGAGCGAAGGAAAGGTGCCCTGGATCGAGAGATCCTTGATTGTATAAGCGAGAGAGGCGAGGGAGAGATTGGCGAGCGAGATTTGGAAGAGTGGCGAGCGACATATGGGAGAGGAGAGAGAGGGGAACGAAAATGTATGTGTACAATTTTTTCTCATTTTGTACAAACACAAACACATTTTATCAATTTGTATTTGTATAAAAGCGAGAGAGGCGAGGTAGAGAACGAGAGTGACAACTGAGATTCACCAGGAGAGAGGCGAAATAGTAACAATTTGTATTGGGGTGCAATTAAATCAGACTATGTTAAATAGCATTTAATTTGAATTAATAATTTGTTAGAGAAAAGACATAAAGACACCATTAAAGTTGTCCAGTATTTGTATAAAGACACTTTAACTTTCAAAGTGTCCTATCACCCCACAGAACTATTTAATATCTTTGTAAATGGGTCATTTTGACTCATTCCTTAGTCTATGTAACCGTGCGTGTTGCTCACTCGCTATGACAAAATTCAACCCGACCCAACCCTATTCTTTGAAGAAAAGTCATCTTCTCCTTTGGGGTGGGGCGGGCATGTTGGTGTTCGGAGTGGATGGAGGAATAAATTAAACGAAAAGATATCAGCATTTTTGGGGAAAGGAGGAGGAGGAAGTGTCAATTGGAGGTGATTTTGTCACCAGAAACAATGGCAGGCTTGGAGTCTCATCCTGAATTTAACTAGTTTATTATTGGCTACTGAATTTTTTTTTAACATAGTAGCTTTTGCTTTTCGTGATCTTACTCAATTTGTATTCTTTTTTTTCTTCAAAATTGAATCTCCATTACTCTTTTCACTAATAGATCATCATATAACAAATTTAAGTAAATAACAATAAAATCTGACAGTACTTGGACCCCAACAGTTCAGATCTATAACTTTACTCAACGTCTCTTCCGTTTTCCTCAACTTCTCGCCGGAGACGACCGTCGGAGAAGACGCCGTCGAGAATCTCCAAGCTGAGGTATTTGTAGAAGCAATTAAATTGAATTTGGCGTAGTGATGAATCGATCTTAAAGCGTAATTTCATCTGGCAAATCCTTGATCTTTTAATGCTTCTACTGCTCCAATACTTGCTGCTACGATTCAGGCCGATCCCTTTGCTGCTGCTGCATTCATTATTTTTGGGAAAACTAACAAAATCTCTGTGTTTTTGCTGATTGATTCATTACTCAATTTGTATTCAATTAATGATGATTAATGTAATTGAGTTTAACATTTGTTGAACAGAATGGAGAATCAATGGAAAGTCTCCCTTTTTTTCCATCCAAGGAAAATAACGGGACAATTCTAATTGCAAAATAGAGTGATTCCAGTACTCAAATGATCATTCAACTATTCTATTTTAATGATTAAGGACGACGTAAGATGATAAAGTCGTCAAACCAACATTGATTTTGCTATGGAGAAATTGAAAAATTAGGGCTACCAACTACTATTTTGGGATTAAATGTGGAGAAGATGACATAAATTAATCAAATAATTAATAGTAAAGAAAAAAATGACACGTGGCACGTTTAAACTGGTTCATGACAGTGAAAACACTGCATGACGCGCCTTATGTGCGTGATAACAACCTACACGAGGGAATGGGTCAAAAGGACCCATTAAAAAGATATAAAATAGTTATGTGGTGTGATAGGACACTTTGAAAGTTAAGGTGTCTTTATGCAAATACAGGATAACTTTGATGGTGTTTTTATGTCTTTTCTCTAGTTTGTTATTATATACAATTTTTCCATTGTTTAAAACCATAGTTAATTTAGTAGGCGTTTGGTCGTGTGATACCATATCATGATATGATACTGTGAGATGGAATCAACGTTTAGACATTTGATTTTACGCTAATTACATCTCATGATTCCATATTCTCCAACCATATCATATGAAATTATATGGGAATACCATATCATATGGAATCTAAGAATAAATCAAATTGAACTAACGAATTCAACTTACATGTATATAATTTTTATAGATATTATACATAAAATATTTATTGTAAAATACTTTATAAATATTTCTTAAATTATTTCAAGTGTGGATTTAGAATTTTAAATGGTCCACTCAAGCTTAGGAGTATGAGTAGCATAAAAAGGAAACGAAAGGGGGATGTGATCTGTATCGTAGAATAAGGTAAAATGAACGGTTGTGATCAAATTTGAGCGTGGGTCAGGTTGTTGGGTTACAGGATGAGTAATCTGGATTGAATTAATTGGGAAATGATTTACAATTTTAAAATTGAATCAATATTGGGTAGAATTGACATAGAAATAGGGTAAAATTTAAATAAATTAACCTGAGGTTGATTAGGTTGCCACATAATTAATCGACTAAATTTTAGAAATAACAAACATGATGTAATGACCCGCTAGATTATTTTGGTCACTAGGACTATTTTTACTATTTTTATAAAAATTATAAACGAAGATTTTAAACTATTCAATAACTAAGATTATTTAGTTAACACAAATTTATTATATAATTAAGGGAAAATGCACAAGTACCTCCTCAACCTATGCTCAAAATTCCAGCGACACGCTTATACTATACTAAGGTCCTATTACCTCCCTGAACTTATTTTATAAGTAGTTTTTACCCCTTTTCAGCCTACGTGACACTAGATTGAAAGAAAAAAATGAACCAGTGTTTGGCCCACAAGATAGTGTCACGTAGGCCAAAAAGGGGTAGAAAATTATTAATAAAATAAGTTCAGGGGTAATAGGACCTTAGATAGTATAAGTGTGTCTCTGAGATTTCGAACATAGGTTGAGGAGGTACTTGTGCATTATTCCTATAATTAATATAGTTAATAGTTAGTGGGCCAAATATATAATTCATTTAAGGAAAAATTACACGATTAAGCAAACGTATACTACTTAATTACTCATCATAACTACAATTTGCTATAATTATCATGCACGACTAACATTATACATTAATTATGTGGGTGATTTTGAGTTTGTATAATTAGCTCCAATTGTATATGTATAACTCGCCAGAATATACAAATGCACATGTATAATATACAATTATTTACTCAATATACATATACGGTTTACTTCTCTCCCACTCTCTATCCTCTTTCGCTCGCCGCTTTCCTCCCTCTCTCAATCTCGCTTGCCTCTCTCCTCTCTCTCCCAATCTCACTTGTTTTTTATACAAATGCATCTGTATCATATACAACCATCTAACAAAAATACATATATAATTACCTTTCTCCCACTCTCTTCCCTCTATCGCTCGCCTCTCTCCTCTCTCTCTCCCAATATCGCTTGTCATATATACAAATATATATGTACAATATGTAATTATCTAACTAATATACATATACAATTTACCTCTCTCCCACTTTTTTCCCTCACTCTCGCCTCTCTCCTCTCTCTTTTCCAGTCTCGCTCGCCTCTCTTCTCCCTATAACGTGTAGCTACGGATTGTAATTATCAAACTATAGCTATGGAGAATAATTAGGCTATTTTTTAGTGGGATTATGTTAAAGTTACCCTTCATTCAATACATTTTACTATTGGCCCATATAGAAATAAGTTAGATCGGTTACACGACTGTTGTATCGTAACTTGAGAAGAAGTAGACAAGCACGACCGGCGGTGTGGACAGAAGAGTAACTTGCATATTTTTGGTGAACATTCAACTGAATGTATTATTGAAAAATTTATAACAAAAATACCACTTTTAGTAAAGAGTTAGTGGAATAGTGTAGTACAAAAATGGTAGGGTAGGAGTTAGTTAATCATTGGGCAAGAATATTTTTCTTACATTGAGTTTTATATGTCCAATTTTCAATTTGA